GTTGGGTTTTTTGAAAAAATAAATAAAATAGATAAACCTTTGGCCAGATTAACTAGAAATAGAAAAGTAAAATCTCTAGTAACCTCAATCAGAAATGATAAAGGGGAAATAACAACTGATGCCACAGAGATCCAAGAGATCATCTCTGAATACTACCAGAAACCCTGTGCCCAGAAATTCGACAATGTGAAAAAAATGGATCAATATTTGGAATCGCACTCTCTCCCTAGACTTAGCCAGGAAGAAATAGAGCTCCTGAACAGACCAATTTCAAGCACTGACATTAAAGAAACAATAAAAAATCTTCCAACAACAACAACAACAAAAATGCCCTGGTCCTTATGGCTTCACATCAGAATTCTATCAAACCTTCAAGGAAGAGCTTATTCTTGTACTGCAGAAATTATTCCAAAAAATTGGAATTGAGGAGGAAGGAATCTTCCCTACCATGTTCTATGAAGCAAATATCACCCTGATACCAAAACCAGGAAAGGACCCAACTAAAAAGGAGAATTTCAGACCAATTTCACTAATGAATATAGATGTAAAAATTCTCAACAAAATCCTAGCCAATAGATTACAGCTTATAATCAAAAAGTTATACATTATGATCAAGTAGGTTTCATCCCAGGGATGCAAAGCTGGTTTAACATGTGCAAGTCCATAAACGTTATCCACCATACTAACAGAAGCAAAAACAAAGACCATATGATCCTCTCAATACATGCAGAAAAAGCATTTGATAAAATCCAGCATCCTTTTTTAATTAGCACACTAGGCACACATGGCACATTTCTTAAACTGGTCGAATCTATCTACGACAAACCCACAGCTAATATTTTACTGAATAAAGTAAAACTGAAAGCTTTTCCTCTTAGAACTGGAACCAGACAAGGTTGTCCTCTGTCACCACTACTATTCAGCATAGTGCTGGAAGTTCTAGCCAATACAATTAGGCAAAACAAGGAAGTAAAGGGCATCCAAATGGGAGCAGAGGAGGTCAAACCCTCCCTCTTTGCTGACAATATGATCTTATATTTAGAGAACCCCAAAGACTCAAACACAAGACTCCTGGACATTATCAAAAAATACAGTAATGTCTCAGGATATAAAATCAATGTCCACAAGTCCATAGCCTTGTATACAGCAATAACAGTCAATATGAGAGGCTAATTAAGGACACAACTCCCTTCACCATAGCTTCAAAGAAAAATGAAATACCTAGGAATATACCAAACAAAAGAGGTGAAATACCTCTAGAAAGAAAATTATGAAACCCTAAGAAAGGAAATAGCAGAGGATATTAACAAATGGAAGAACATACTAGGCTCATGGCTGGGAAGAATCAACATTGTTAAAATGTCTATACTCCCAGAGCAATCTACTGATTCAATTCCATCTTGATTAAAATATGAATATTGTACTTTCAAGACTTGGAAAAAATAATTCTGCATTTTGGATAGAACCAGAAAAAACCCTGTATAGCTAAGGCAGTTCTTAGTAATAAAAACAAAGCTGGGGGCATCAGCATACTAGACTTTAGGCTGTACTACAAGGCCATAGTGATCAAAACAGCATGGTATTGGCACAAAAGTAGAGACATAGATATTTGGAATCGAATAGAAAATCAGAAAATGAAACTAACATCTTACAACCATCTAATTTTCGATAAACCAAACAAGAACATACCTTGAGGGAAAGACTCCCTATTCAATCAATGGTGCTGGGAGAACTGGATATCCACATGTAAAAGTCTGAAACTGAACCCACACCTTTCTCCACTCACAAAAATTGAATCAAGATGGATAAAGGACTTAAATTTAAGGCATGAAACAATAAAAACCCTCAAAGACAGCATAGGAAAAACACTGGCAGATATCAGCCTGGGGAAAGATTTCATGAAGTCTGTCGTGGCAATTGCAGCAACAAAAATAAACAAATGGGACTTAATTAAACTGAAAAGTTTCTGTACAGCTAAGGAGACAACAACCAAAGCAAATAGATAACCTACACAATGGGAAAGAATATTTGCATATTTTGAATTAGACAAAGCTTGATAACTAGGATCTATAGAGAACTCAAATTAATCCACATGAAAAAAGCCAACAATCCCATATATCAATGGGCAAGAGACATGAATAGAACCTTCTCTAAAGAAGACAGACAAATGGCTAACAAGCATATGAAAACATGCTCATTATCCCTAATTATTAGAGAATGCAAATCAAAACCACCCTGAAATACCATCTAACCCCAGTGAGAATGGCCCACATCACAAAATCTCAAACCTGCAGATGCTGGCGTGGATGTGGAGAGAAGGGCACGCTTTTACACCACTGGTAGGACTGAAAACTAATACAACCTATCTGGAAGGAAGTATGGAGAACCCTCAAAGAACTCAAGCTAGACCTCCCATTTGATCCTGCAATCCCATTACTGGGCATCTACCTAGAAGGAAAAAAATTCTTTTATCATAAGGACACTTGCACTAGACTGTTTATTGCAGCTCAATTTATAATTGCCAAAATGTGGAAACAGCCTAAATGCCCACCAACCCAGGAATTAACAAACTGTGGTATATGTACACCATGGAATACTATTCAGCCATTAAAAAAATGGCGACTTTACAGCCTTTGTATTAACCTGGATGGAAGTGGAACACATTATTCTTAGTAAAGCATCACAAGAATGGAGAAGCATGAATCCTGTGTACTCAATTTTGATATGAGGACAATTAATGACATGGTGGGGTGGGGTAAGGGGAGAGCAGAGAGAGAGAGAAGGAGGGGGGTGGGGTCTTGGTGTGTGACACACCTTTGGGGGGCAAGACACGATTGTAAGAGGGACTTTGCTTAACAAATGCAATCAGCGTAACCTAGTTTCTTGTACCCTCAATGAATCCCCAACATTAAAAAAAATAATAATAAGTTAATGATGGCAATAAAAACAATTTCTAAGTGTGCAATTAAGCCACTATAGGAACATTGACAGGCCTGTGCAGCCCTTTCCTCCATCCATCCCCAGAGCTCTCACCACCCCAGACAGAGACTCTGCACCCATCACTCTGTAACTCTACAGAATTTAGTCCATAGGGACAAAATGAAGGCAATTTAGAAAAAGTCCCCAGTACGAATTCAAGGTGGTGTCTGCACATCCTCCCCAGTTTCAGTGACATCTCAGCTTGGGAAGAGGGACCCCACAACCCAGAAACCACATGAGACACTTCCTGAGGTGTCCTTGAGAGGAAGAGGATTTCCAGCAGGTGGCACTATCTGACACAGCTGTCCTCTCCTGCAGAGACTGTGACTACATCTGAGCCCCATATTTTTCACTTCACTGGACCTGTCTCTGCAACAGTAGAGTGGATCCTGGAAGGTGGACATGGATTTTTATAGATCCAGTGAGACAATAGTCCCATTTGCAGCATCTGAGCCAGAGGAGGAATGTCCTAGAACATAACAACATGGCTGCAGGTGCCCAGAAGGCAGCACTGATGTGGAAACCCAGTGCTTCTCTGTCCCTCTCAGAGGGCAGGGTCAAGCCAGGGCACCCACAGGGGATGGACAAGGCAGCCACTCACACTTGTCCCCACTGTCATCAGCCTCGCTTCCCTGTCATGACACACTCCATGGGAGCTGGGCCATCTGGACACCAGGAGAACACCCAAGGCTCTGCCGTGCTGTGGTCACTGGGACATGCATTGCCTGGCAGGAGTCCTGAAAGCTCCAGTGAGACCCCTGCCCTCCTGAGAGTGGGGACAGACCATGGGCCTTCTTCCTCCATGTGAGCTGAGATGTTTAAGGTGTAGCTGTTGGGACCGAGGAGTCTTTATCACTGTGAAATTCCCAGGCTGAACTGTGTGTGTCACTGAAAGGATAATACCTGGACCACTGGGTGGGGTTCTGAAAGGAATGATGATTTGTACATATTGTGGGGTGGGGTGAGGAGCCCTGAGCTCACCCTGTGGGTGCTCCTGGGGCTCCCTGTGTAGGCCTGAGGCTGAAGATTCCCTGGAACCTAGACTCACTGAAGGAGGATCTGAGCTCCCCCCGCCCAGATCCCAGAGCTCCTGCCTGTCAGGCCCCATTTAGTCTCTGGACCAGGCAGGGAATGGGTAGGTATAGCTGGGCGTTAGGACACTCAATCTGGGGGTCTAGGAGAGAAACCAGTTTCCCATGCATAGCGACCTCCTCAGTCCCTGATGGCTGTGGTTGGGGTGGCAGACTGTCCCTGGTTGGGTCCTGGAAGCAGCTCCTGAGATGGAGATCTTCAGGCACAGAGGTCCTGGAGGAACAAAGAAGGCAGTGCTGGGTGGAAGTCCAGTGACCACAATGGAGTTAGCCAGCAAGTTCACAGGTGCCCATGGAGGGTACTCTGAGCCTGGGGTCCTCCAAAGCTAGCCTATATTGAGGCAGGACCTGGATCTCTCTGAGAAGGGCACACATTGGAAGGGGGTAGTTCTCTGCACCCAGCAGCACTTCCCAGTGAGAAGTGAGAGCTGAGCTTGAGCTGCCATGGGGCTCAGCAGTGCTGGGGGGGGGTCACCCTGAGGAGGGGTCTATTAATCTCACAGTCTACTCTGCACTTTGCTCTGCTCACAATCCCAGGTTTCCAGGGACCTTCAGCCTCATGATCTCAGCAGGGCTGGGCAGTTATGGGGACAGGTCCACAGACTAGGTCCAAGGAATGGGGCTGTCACCACCACAGGTTTATCTGGGGACAGGATAGTGGATGGATGATTCCCTCTGTGTGTCCTTCCACTCAGGCCCCGTTTGAAATGAAACGGCAGATGTGAGAGAAGGATGGACCCCACTTCAAGTGTAATTAATTAATAGAAATTTATTGATAATTTGATACACCTGCAGGTGCACCTGTAGCGGGCTGCTGTGGTGGGCCAACAAGCAGCCTCGAATAGTGGATGAGAAGTGTTTTTATACTATTCTTCTGCAAGAAGTCAGCAAGCTAGCGCAATACAGAAGCCAATCACAGCGGTTAGCACAGCTCAATACAGCTCAAGGATCACAAAGTAAGGGTACATCATAAGGGCTTACCCAATTCAGGGTGGGGGTACATGTTCATAAATCACAAAATACATCACAAGTACGTTACTTCATGATCATAAGATGAGGGTAACAAAGTTCAGGGTTACAAAACAAGTGTTGGGTAAATTTCCAAGAATAACTTGGGACCTTTTCATCAAGAGCTCAACTCCTCCCTTCACTCAACCCCTCCCTGCATACTTCCTTAATTTCAGGCTGCTTCCTTACCTTTGAGGGGGCTGGGACTAAAGGACTTAGGAGAGGTTTCCTTTTCAAGGGTAGGGGGCTTGTTCCCCACTGGTCTTGGGGACAGAGCCAAGGGCTGGGGGGCTTGGTTATCACACATTCTGTCCTCATGAAGCAGCCCTGATAGACAAAACAGTGCTGCTCCTGCCAGGCAACGTCCACCCTTGACCACCCTCTGCAAACCCTCCCTGCGGGTGCCCGCCCTGCTCATGGTGCATCTACAGTCCTCCTTGGCCGGAGTGAAAGGGTGACACAGGAGGGGAAGTGGCTTGTGTCTCATTAAATGGGGCAGGAGTTAGTGTCTCACTTCCCCATCTGCCTGTGTCACTGTGAGCAATGTCGCTGCCAAAGTCCCACACCTGACAGTAATAGTCAACATCATCCTTGGCCTGGGCCCCGTTGATGGTCAGGGTGGCTGTGTTCCCCGAGTTGGAACCTGAGAATCGCTCAGGGATCCCTGAGGGCCAGTTGCTATCACCATAGATGACCAGCACAGGGGACTGGCCTGGCTTCTGCTGGTACCAATTCACAGCGCTGCTGCCAATATTGTTTCCCTCACAGGTGATCCTGGCTGTGTCTCCCAGGGCCATTGACTCCAAGGGTGGCTGGGTGAGCTCATAGGAGGCCACAGATCCTGTAAGGAGAGAAACGAATGGCTTGAAACCAGGGAACTCACAGCAAAAATTTCCACTCTCCAGGGTGGGGTGTCTTCAGAGGACCAGGGAAGACAGTGTGGGGGTCTCAGCTCCACCAACCCCTCACCCAACAGCAAGGTCAGGAGCCCCCTGTCCTCCACGGCCAGGGCCCTGCTGAGCTCACAGTCAGGCCCGGGCTTGTCCCCAAGCCCTAGGGCTGAGCAAGTGGGGACTCTGGGGCAGCACCTATGCAGTGAGCCAGGAGACCTAGAAGGAGAGGGGTCCAGGCCATGGTGGAGACACCGCAATGCTGCTTCTGAGGCCCGGGCTGGGCAGGTGCCTCCCAGGCCTGTCTCATCCCCTGGTGGAGAGAGCTGCCCAGGATGCAAATGAGCCTGAGTCAGGGGCTGCTGCCTGAGGAGCTCTGTGGTTTCCAGAGAGGCTCAGCCCAGGGAGGGAGGGGCAGTCCCCGCAGACCCAGCCTAACTCCCCAGGAGTCTTCCCCACCAGCTGGTCTTGTAGTCTAGGCCAACATCTCCACCCAAAACTATGTCAGGTATCTCTCCAGGCCATGCTGAGCTCACACGTGACACTCTCTGATTCTCCTTATTCCTTTCCACAGGCGACAACACAGAGCTCAGCGGTTGTAGGTTCCTAACTCAGATCCCTGACCCTGAGCTTACAGCTCTGTTCACAGGGCTGGATTCTCATGTGCATGTGGGTTTCTGTTAGAGGCAGCATCTCAGTCTGTCACCTGTGTGGGAGTGCAGAGGTGAGATCACAGCTCAATGAAGCCTGGAACCCCCCCGGCTCCCACCATTCTCCCTTCTCTGCCTCCTACTGTGGGAAGATTACAGGTGTGAGTCACCCACCAGCTCACATGCACTGTTTAAGAGCATCTGAGGCTCTTCAGGTCCCTGCCCTTGGTATGAGCTCCTGGAGCAGGTCCTTGTCCTCAGTGTCTCCTGTGTGTGCTGGAAGTCAGGGACAGCTCCAGGGCTCTAGGGGAGCTTGGCACCTACAGAGACTGAGCCTCCTTGGGACTCTCTGGGTGGAGATAATGAAGTACTTGTGCCTGGACAGAGAAATAGGAAGTGATAGAGCAGCCTGATGTGAGACCTGGAGCCAGAATCTGTGCTTCACATCAAGCAGGAGGAAGATGAGTGGAAGACTGACTCCTGTGATTACAACTAGGTGACTCTGCCGCCCCCTGGTGGCTGCCCCACACTGGCAGCTGCAGCTCCAGGTCCTCCTAGGTGCAGGTGCAGATTCACAGGCTGCTGCTCAGGTTCCTGCTCCCTTGACCCACAGACTGCTGCTCCGGAGAGGGTTCCTCTTTTCTGTGGGACCTCTGCAGCCTCCAGACCAAGCACGACGGGTTCAGATTATGCAGAAAAATATGAACTTATTCATTTAGAAGGGAAAGGTCAGGACCCAGTTGAGGCCTCCCTGCATGTGCGTCTGGGGCATGGTTGGTCCTGCAGGAGATACCAGGGCTTGGCACTGGGAACACAGTGCTCAGGGACTGGCTCTGCCTGATGTTCACTGTGGATTCATGGCCATGACCAGTGCCCACGGGGCTGCACCAAACACACACAGTAGACCATCCCCACAGCAGATATTCATCTAGACCTACTCTGCTCTGGCCACTTACAGCCTGCTTGCAGTGAGTCTCTTCTCTTATCTGGGGCTCCGTGCAATAGACACACTGAGTTTGCAGGCACAGCACAGTCCCCACCACCTTCTCCTTTAACACTGTCTGCTTTATTTATTTAATCACATAGACACCTGCTCAGCTGGGTCTCTCTCAGCCAGGACTCACTGTGTGACCCAGCACGAGTCCTTGGTCACTTGGCTGTTCTGTCTCGGGGAACCTTGGCTCTTGTAAGGTAAGGAACGTGCTGGACTTCTGTTGCTTCTTTTTTGTTGAATTTAGGTGTGATGGCTGGAGCTGTAGCAGCAATCCTGAGACCTTGGGCCAACAAGACTGAAAACAAAGCCAACATCACAGGGACAATGGAACAGGGACTTACGAAGACCCTGGTGCCTTCATGGAAATGGTGAGAATCTCGAAATTAAACCCTGTTTTACCCCTAACTTAGGAGAAATCACCTCCCCTGTGTCTGTGCCTCTGTATTTCATATTTGTAAACCTGCAGTTAAAAGCATTTCTCACCATAGGGAAACAATATATACAAATGTATAAATTCATAGAAATATTGACAGGAAAGACTCCATCATTGATACTATGGAGATAATTAATGAAGGAGTTAGACAGAATGTGACAGGCAGGCTGTCAGAACAGCAGGTGAGAACTCTTTTTCTGCAACTGCTATCAGACTTTTCAAAGGCTCGAGACACAGGAGTGTGTGAGAAGCGCTCAGTCGGTCTCTGTGAGGAAGAGTCTGGTGAGTCTGAGAATCGCATGGGACAGTGACAAACCGAGGGGCTGGAATTCAAACCGTGTTGGGTCCTTGGTGATGTTTCTATACATGAAGGATATGGGGCAGGAGTGATGTGTATTGAGATGTGGCTAAAGGACATTTTCTGGTAGTAAATTAGGTTCTCCTGACTCTTGCTTAGCATATGTGGGGGGGTCTCCAGGATGCTGCCCTGGGGAGAAGACAAGTGAGACTTACATGGAGTCAGCACACCACCCAGGCTCTTCCCTAGCTCACCTAGATCTGGAGATGCTTAGGGGAGGAGTTCCAGGGCCTTCCTCCCTGTGGCCACTAGGCGGCCCTATGGAGAACTGCTCTACTACCATTTCAGATACTGGGCTAGCGTCCTTCAGTCCTGGCCATCACTGCTTCCTCTGAAATTCTAAAGTTCTATGACCCAGGAGCATAGAATCTGGGGAGTGCACTGGATAGGGAAGAGACAGGTCTGAGTGTCGGAGTGACAATCCCAGGGTCTCTCGGGAGGATCTGAGAAAGGAGAATTACAAGTCCCTAGGCTCCTGACAACAACCTCTTCTTGGGGTACTACCTGCCTGGTCTGGGGAGGAGGAAGTGGGACACCCTCACCCAATGTGTCCTGCCTGGTTGGAGAAGCTTGGCCCTGTGGTATCTCCCAGCTGCCTGTGGGGGGTGCTGGTACACTTGGATGGGGGCAGTGCAGGGCCTGGGAGGTGGACCAGCTCCGTGCACCCTTTGGACTGATCAGAAATCCAAGAAGTCCTTGATCAGGAGGAACTGGAGCCAGCTCAGCACCTGTAGTACAGTAGTTATGGCACTGGCCACATACACCTGGGCTGGCGGGTTCGAACCAAGCACAGGCCAGCTAAACAATGACAGCTGCAACAAAGAAATAGCCAGGCATTGTGGCAGGTGCCCATAATCCCAGCTACTTGGGAGGCTGAGGCAAGAGAATCTCTTAAGCCCAGGAGTTTGAGGTTGCTGTGAGCACTGATGGTACAGCACTCTACTGAGAGCAACATAGTGAGACTATGTCCCCCCTTCTTAAAAAATAAAAAAAAGAAGAAGAAGTAACTGGGGAAGGTTTTGACCATCTGTATCTCTGGAATGATTCTGGAATTATCAGTTAGGTATCAGGGATCCTGTGAATACAATATGGCGTGTGGACAGCTCATGGTCCGCAGACATGCAATGGGAATAGTACATGCAGCAGTCTATCTGGTGATAGCACCTATCTCAATGGTGAGATAGGAGAGACTTCCTTTTTATCTGTCATCCCCCTTCCTTGAAAATCAGACATCAGCTGTCATGGGAGGGGACCTACAGGAAGCTTCTCTTCTTTCTCTCTAAAAATTTCTACACTTGATATTTTCAATTTATCAAAGAAACCTAAAAGTAAAGTTTTTGGAGCAAAAGTCACAGGTATGTGAGACACTCAGCTTGTGGCACAGCTTCCTGGGACCTGTGAACAGAGATTTTTCTTATGGGGCAACAGGCACCAGCTCAGTGCAGCTCTAGGAGCCCCAGGGTCCTACTCGTGTGCTGGTTTCCTGATCATTCCTAGCCCAGGGTTTCATTAAAAAGAGTTAATTTTGGAGCTAGAAATGAGGAGCAGCATTGATGTCATTAATGATGGACTGAGCTTGCGTTTGTGCCACAGAGAGTATGACTCTGGTCAGTTTTGGGAAGGTCAGGGACCCAGGTCCCTCTGCACATGAACCAGAGCAGGACAGACCCTGTCCTCACACTCGCAGAGCTGACCTGACGCATCAGCAAATGTCACCCTGGGAACGAGATCTACTCGGCTCCCAGGCTTTATCCTCTTCCCAGCCAATGATCTGAGGGACAGAATGTAGAATGGAGGAGTACAGACCCCTCTCCTTCCAGACTCTGTGTTGACAGATGAAGAGACTGTGGGTCTCCAGAACAGGCCCCAGACAGACTGGACACATTTCCCCTCCCATGAACCTCTGTGCTGCTTTCTGAAGGGAACTGAATAAACACAACATCTTGTGTGGATAAAAATGTGAACAAGTTAGTGGGGAAGTCATAATTCAAGTGGCCTGCTATTTGTGTTTGTGGGGTACACTGACAAGGAACTGAGTGAGTTGAGGTCGTGGTCAGAGCTCAGAGAGTGAGAGTAAGCTGGGGGAGTTCCTGTCCCAAACCCCCATCTGTCTGTGTCACTGTGAGTCACTGCCAGCTGCTCCCACTGTTATCAGCTCTGGCACAGTAATAATCGGCCTCGTCCCCCGCCTGGGCCCCACTGATGGTCAGGGTGGCCGTGTTCCCTGAGCTGGCCCCAGAGAACCGCTCAGGGATCCCGGAAGGCCGCTCACTGTCTTCATATATCACCAGCACAGGGGACTGGCCTGCTTTCTGCTGGTACCAGGAGATGTATCTGTCATCAAGTTTATCACCAGAGCAGGTGATCCTGGCCGTCTGTCCTAGAGACACTGACACCGAGGGCAGTTGTGTGATCTCATAGGAGGAAACAGAACCTACAAGACAGAAGAGGAGGAAGAGCTTCAGAATTAAAGACCCTTCAGGGGCCCTGCCCTGAAACCCAGGTGCTGGGCTGAGCTCAGGATCCTGTAGTGGCTGACCCTGGGGCAGGGCCAAAGGACAGCACCTGTGCAGAGAGTGAGGAGGGGGAGCAGGAGAGGGCTCCAGGCCATGGTGACACCCCCAGAACTCTGCCTCAGAGGCCACAGCACAGAGGGGCTCCCCCAGCCTCTCTTATTCTTCTCAGGCCCTGTGGGACTGCTGAGTGTTTGGGGCATATGCAAATGATTTCCCCTGGGCCTCCTCCTTGACAGATTCACTCAACCAGCTGAGGGGACAGCACAGGGACTGAGCAGGGAGGGCTGGGGCCC